ATCAGATCCCACTCATCCCAACTCAGCCCAGCCAACTCAGTCAAGAAATGCCACCAAAGCTGGCCTCACGATGTGAGCAACCTATCCTCACGTCGTGAGCCCCAACCAGCTCTCCAGAATCGGGACGTTAACGCTTCTCACGTCGTGAGACCTTGTGTCTCACGTCGTGAGAACAGTCTGAGGCTAAAAATCCAAATTTTAGGTCCTTAATCCATTAAGCCTTCAATCCTAATTCTTTCAGAAGCTAACAAGGACTCCAAAGGCCAATAAAAACGATTACTTGATGGACATGCATGCCCCATGCATGTCCTAAACCCATCTTAGGTCAAAATAACAAGAAATTGCCCCAAACTCAATCAAGATTCATAAATTATAAACACACTTCAGATCCTTAAGACTAAATCATAGAGAATGACTCATTGATCCATAAAGTTGCCAACTTCATGGATCTGAAGCATGCAATCCAACATAAACATGCAAAAAGGAGCTTAGAACTTAGATTTAGCAATTTGAGCTCATAAAGATTGAATCTTGGACACTTACAATGGTATAAAATGTGCACAAGATGAGGATGATGAAGCCTCCTTGCTGAACCAACACCCTAACACCTCTTCTTCTCCTTCTTCTAGCCACCTAATCACCAAAATGGGTCCAAAATCACTAAAATCGATTAGGGTTAGGGTTTTTTGAGTTAGAGGAAGGTGAAGGCTGAGAAATGAACCCTAAAACCGAATTAAGGGAGCTTAAATACATGGGAAACCTTAAAACTTTGTGGGTTTGGTCTGCAGCGCTCCTCACGTTGTGAGCTCTTATTGCTCACGTCGTGAGCTCAGTCCCGGATAGGATCTTGATCCAGCCCTTCTCATGTCGTGAGCCTCCATGCCTTACAACGTGAGGACCCCTTTTTCTCCAAAAATCCAACATTTTGACTCTCTGAAACCCTAATTAGATTCATCCAAGAAAATGGATGTTACACTACACATAAGGATATATACTGCAATACAAAGTATAGTGAGGAAACTCACCTCGTAAGCTAACATATATCAACACCACCCACACGAAGACAAGAACTAACACTATGAGCCACCTATACATCGAATAGAGGCAAACCATCAATCTATGGCCTTAAAACCCTTAAATCAACTTGGTCAAAAGTTAACAATCAAAGTTAATGTAAACATTCAAAAGTCTCACAGTCCACCGCCACGCCGTGGCCAAGCTTCTTCTACGTTGTGGTGGCCTCAGGACAAAACAATCGCAGAGACTGTCTGCCATCATATCGTGGAGGCCAATCCTCCATATCGTGGGAATTGTTATGGCCTTCTTAATGTATTAAGCTCTTAATCCTTCAAGCTACCTATCCATATTTTCCAAAAGTATTTCTCACACTTATTGGATCATAAAAGTCGATGCTTTATATACATGCATGTACAACGCATGTCTTAAAATCTAGCTACGTCAAAATGATGAAAATGAGATCAAAACCTAATGCAAGGATTCAAAACTCAATCATTCTTCAGATCTAGGACATATAATCATAAGAGGACCTAAAAGGTCCAAAAAGTTGCCAACTTTATGGACTCCAACCGTACCAACTAACCCAAACATGAAGAACAAGACAAAGAAACCTAGATCTAAAAGCATGAAGAATAAAGGTTGGAACTTGAAGACTCATAATTTTCCAAAAGATGAGCTAGGAGGTGGAGGATGAGCTTGCTTGTTGGATCTTCTCACAAAGTATGCCTTCTTCTTTTTCTTCTTCTCACCAAAATCACCACAAAACTTCAAGAACTCAGCAATGGAGGCTAAGGGTGCTTATAGGTCAAAAAGGAGGTGATGGAGGTTGAGGGTGTGCAAACCCTATTCATCACATCCCTTAAATAGGGCTTAAGGCACGGAAATTAGGGTTTACGTCCTGGTCGCCATCATGCCGTTGCCACCATCATTCCACGTCGTAAGGGTGAAAATGAATGCGTGTTTCATCTGGCCTTGACCACGTCATGGTGCATCCTTTGCCACATCGTGGTCTCCATAAAACTTATTTATTTAAGATTTGAATTTCTAAAATTCAAGGATGATATTTACCTGGAACTTGGTGTTACACTCCTGAGCCAACAACACGGGGTTGGACTGCTCTCCTTGGGCCTACAATATCAATTGGATCGCCCAGGTATCTTGGCCTAAAATACAAAGCAAGGAACCTTAACCCAACCACAACATGTCGACATATGCAAACAAACAATAACCAACAAACACGGGTAGTCATAACAGATGTACCACACTAACAAATCACTACAACATAACAACACCCTACACACAAGGATACATATTGTCATACAAAGTATAGTGAGAAAACTCACCTCGCATGCTAGCAGATAACATCACAGCTCTCACGAAGTAAGGACGGGTGCTACAAGTCACATATACAACAATCAGAGGCAAATCCTCAATCTATACACTAAAACAATCCAGTTGACCAAAAGTGAACTTGGTCAAAAGTTAACGATCAAAGTCAACGTTCAAATTCAACCTAGTTGGTCACCACGTCGTGGTAACTCCATGATAAAATAGTCGTTACCATACCACCCACGACGTTGTGGCAATAGTCCAAGGAAAATAGTCACAAGAAACCCCCTTCATTACGATGTGGTCTGCAGTCTCCATGTTGTGAAAACTGCTATTGGACAACTTAATGGATTAAGCCCTTAATCCACTAGGCCACACTCTTATATCTTCCAGAAGGCTTCCTAACGTCCATAAGCTTCATAAAAACCCTTGCTTTATGTACATGCATGTCTTGAACTCTACTTAGGTCAAAATGGTGAAAATGAGGTCAAAACCTCATGCATGGAACCAAAACTCTACCAAACTTCAGATCTGGATCATTAAACCTCAAAGGGGCCTCAAGGATCCATAAAGTTGCCAACTTTATAGAATCCATCCACTCAAGCTATCCCAAACATGGAGAAAAGTGCATGAAAAACCTAGATATAGAAGAATAGTACACAAATATATGAACTTGAGGACTTACAAAAGTCTAAAATGTGTGCAATAAGGTGGTGGGGGAACTTGCTTGTTGGATCTTCTCTCAAAGGACACCTTCTTCTCCTTCAATATCACCAAAAGCCACTAAAAAGCTTCAAAGACTCAAAAATGGAGGTTAGGGTTTGTTTAGGACGAAAGGGAGGTGATGGAGGCTGGGGATGAGCAAACCCTAGCCATCACATCTATTAAAATAGGGCCTCAAACCCAAAAAATTAGGGTTTTGAATGTTGGTCGCTACCATGTCGTGGCCATTACCATTGCTATGTCGTGGAGTCCAAAATGAAAGCACATTTCATCGGGTGAGACCACGTCGTGGGGGCTTCACCACCACGTCATGGCCACCAAAAACCTCATATTTTTAAGTCTTAAATGCCAAAAATCACAAGAGCAATTATACATGGAACTTGGTGTTACACACATTTTACAAGATGGTTGTTGCAAATAGCCATCTTTTTGGACCATACTGCAAAGAATGACAACTTCATCCAACTTGGGAATGGAATTAGGGTAAAACCTTTTGAGGGGAGAAACTAGACATTGTTACAAAGTTATAGACCACAATCTCATGTAGTTTGGAGTTTCCTATATTTAATTATGAAGTTTACAAATAACTAATGTGATCGGTGGTTTTGCTGATCAGTTTGCATTGAATGCAAAGTATATACAATTGTAGATAACACTAAATCAACCTCTTTGGATGGACGAAACTAGACATTCATACCTTTTGGGGAACATATATTCCAAACTCATTAAACACTTAATCACTGAAGTAAAGGTTGAATAGCGAGCACCACTCAACCACCATGAAGTGGCGATGACATGGTGGTGATAAGGTGGTCATAGGATGGTGTAAATCCTCACAATAAGAACATTGTCTAAAAGGGTAAGGAAGAACAATGTTGACTACAATCTTAATCCATGAAAATTGAAGGTCACATGACCTCACCACTATTTAATAGTGGGGATGAGATGATTGTAGGCTAGATGAAATTTGAATGTTGACTACCACCATCGGTGACAGTGGTGGTTTGTGGTGGTGAAGTTTGGTATTTTAGTGAAAAAAATAAGAAGAATGAAGGCTAGATGAAAGAGATTTCATACCAAAACAAAAGATTATTGCAACACCTCCTTCTTGCTCCACCTTCTCCTGCCAAGATTTCGACGACCAAGCTCTGGCCGGCCACCACAAACACTCGATTTCTCTCTCTCATTTCATTTCCGTCCCGAACCTCCCCTCTCTCTTCACACTCTAAAACTGGTCATAACTCGTCAAGACAAAAAGAAATTTTAGATCTACGATATCATATTTGGATAATAATCTCCCATTACTATAAACTTTAATAGAATTTATAATTAGATGTTTCCCAAACGATGTAAGAGAATTCCATAAATACATCAAAAACAAATGCATACCTCAAATGTCGTTGATTTGACATATGAAAATGCAATGGCCTTCACGAAGTTGTTTTTTTGACATGATGTACTATTTTTTACACTTAATGCTTTTATTTTTTTCGTTTCCACAAATAGAGCTTTGAGAGATAATAATACATCACTTGCGGTTTAAGATTTGTAAAATTAAAGAAAAAACTTCTTTTTATAGGTAAAGATACTCTCTTCTTCTGCATACGATTTACTACCAAATTACAATTGATTATATTTTTATATCGTGATTACAGAAAATTATTATAAAAGTATTTATTTGAAGCTTTTTGTTAAAAAAATTCATTTTTTGAATATATAATATAACATCTTACAAAAACTATACACGATGTTAAATGTTTTGGTATCATTAAATGGAAAAATACTTAATTTGTGTATCATGTTTTAAAAAGTGTTTGATTATTTTATTATAACAAGACATGAAAAAATAAAATACAATCTTGTAAAATGACAAAAACACCCTTGCCTCGACATCGGAAAACACGCGCTCCCTTTTTTTCCTCTCAATATCTCTCCATGGTACAAGAAGTGTCATGCCTGCACTTCACCTGCCGCTGCCCAAAAACTGGTGCTGGCTTTTATGGACCCCAAGTTCGCCGGAAAACCAATCGCCTCCGCCTCATATTACCGCGGTGGACAGATGGACATCGAACAGATGCCTGAAACACCCAACCGAGGCGCCCACCACCGCCGAGCCCAGTCAGAGACGTTCTTCCGTTTCCCAGACGAAGACATCCTTCTAGATGATGTTGTTGCCGACTTTAATTTCGCCAACATCGACTTACCATCTCTCTCATCCGACGCTCCCATCCCCACAACCACCGGTGAATCATCGTCTAAGTCAGAGGGAGAGTCCTCCGACGTCAACGCCGTCAAATCGACGGCGAGTAGACCGCCGGGACCCGTTAATCATATCAGAAGCCTCTCTGTGGACGCTGACTTCTTCGATGGGTTAGGTTTAAGCTCCGCCGCTGAGGCGAGCGGTGGGTATCGTCATAGGCATAGTAATTCGATGGATGGGTCTGCTGCATCGTCGTTTGAAGGGGATTCGATGTTGATGATGTTGGATAATTCGAAGAAAGCACTTGCCCCTGATAAACTAGCTGAACTTGCTTTGATCGATCCCAAGAGAGCTAAAAGGTTTCGATCGTGTCCTTATTTTCTCTCAAAGTTTCTAAATTTTTTGTTAGTTCTTCAATTGGGTGCAATTTAAACGATCGATTCCTTCACAAACTTACGCAATTTGCTAAAAGTTTTCATCTTTTCAAAAGATCTATTGTTTCTCATCATTCTTATGCTTAAGGGGTGTTTAAATTATGCATTTTGAAAGTGATGACGTAATTATTGCCACTTTAATCTATAATGTTTAGGTTACCTACCTGCTTATGATTATCATTTTAGGATTGTTAGTTTGATAATTAGAGTAAAATTGCTTATGACTATTCGACTATTTAGTTACATTTTTACACATAATCAAATTCTACCGATCACTTAAAAAACATGTATCCAAACAAATGCCCGATTAGTATTGAAGTTTAATTTCATTACATATTGGTGAATGCCTGAATGGTATGATATTTGATTCAATTTTGTATGATTTTGTGGTTTGTATGTAGAATTCTTGCAAATAGACAATCAGCTGCACGTTCAAAGGAGAGGAAAATAAGGTATACAAGTGAATTGGAGAGAAAAGTACAGACCCTTCAAAACGAGGCAACAACATTGTCTACCCAAGTGACAATGCTCCAGGTATGTGTAAAAGACGTAAATACCCTCATCATTGAAATTAGCCCTAGAAAAAACTTGTCATGTCCCCGAAATGGTAACTTTAAAATATTGACTTAATGGACTTAAATGAGTTACTTGATAGTAATTAAAAAGACATTAAAATACTTTTGAACGAATAATAAAAATAGAAAGGAAAGACATGAAATTTGATATAAATTTATTACTTATATAATTATTTCTTATTGTGATGCAGCGTGATACAAGTGGACTAACTTCTGAGAACAAAGAGCTCAAGCTGCGGTTACAAGCCTTGGAACAACAAGCAAAACTTAGAGATGGTAATTATTATCATAATTAATAATTATTCATTTTAAAGATAAAAAGACTTAATGGACTTAAATGAGAACATGACTAAATCCAATAAGCTATATATTGTTGTTCATTTTTGACTTAAATACATTAAGAAAAACTTGGTAGAGAAAATCCAGTAACTGTTTTTTTTCCCCATCGAGTCCTAATTGTTTAGGAATTTGCTCTCATTTAATTTTGCCTTTCACTTTCCTCAAGTATCCAACGTTTTCTTAAATATTTATTAAGGCGTTGTACTTTTAAAAATCGACCAAATTATAGCTTTGTATCTTTACCATTTTTCTTATTAGGACATTGTACTCTAAGAGCATCTATAATGTCTTATTTGTTTTGTAACATCAACAAAAAGCTGTCTTTATAAATCTTCTCTAATGAATAAGCTTTTTTTCTAGTAATAATAATTTATCCTCGAATATTTGAAATGTTTTATAAAGCACCCTTTTCTAATTTGTTGTTTTAAACTAATTTCATATTTGATATTTGTTTTATTTTTATGAAGTGTAGTTATAAATTAAAAAAAAAACGATAAAAATAATGTAATAGTCGCTATGTTTTTTTAATATTTAACAGTTGTGTCATTTTAATCGACCCGAAAAATGCTTTTAAACAAACAAATGAAAGCATGTTCTATTTTTTTTTCATTCATCCCTATTAACTTTTGTAATTTCAAAGTTAAATTACTTTGTATTTACATAATTTCTTTTTTCATTTATTTTTGTCAACAGCTTTGAACGAAACCCTAAGAGCAGAAGTGCAGCGGCTCAAAATCGAGACCGGTCAACTGCCGCCACTTAACGGGATGAACTACCACCACCACCGCTCATTGCCGCCTCAATATTCATCACACCAACAAACATTTCATCACTTTGGCAATCAGAACCCTCAACAGCCGCCACAACAGCAGATTCGACCGCCTGATGCCGCCACTAACCGCCCGCCCAAACCGACCTTCATGGACTTTAATTAACAAATATCATAACATTTTCGGGTGCATTTGGGCTTTGAGGGCTTTTTGGTATTATATCATTTTGTAGATAAAAATGGGATGTGTGGACGCATGTGATAGTTATTTGTTATATATAACTTAAAAGTTTTTTTTTTATGAAACTTGGGATGATGATGCTTAGGTTTGACTTTGAAAAGTCAACTGTGAATTTGGTTTTAAAAACGTGTTTTGTATCCTTCTTTATCATGATTAATTTCTTTTTTAATTAAAATGAGAGGTATAAAAATAATATATATATATTTTTTCGGTTAAAATGAGAGGTGTAAAAGTCAAATTATTGCTTTTTTTTTTTTTTAATTTGATTAATGAAAAATATAAAATAAATAAATATATCATTTCCCTTTGAAATGACTAATAATATATTCTTTTCTAAAACGTAAATTATCAATCAATATGACAACTCCTGGACATCGTTGCAACCTCACATCTGACCCTGTGACACCAATATAAAAATTTATTTTTTATTTGTAGATTATAGTTTAATAAAATTTGCCAAAACTACAATTAGAAAAAAATAAAATATAATGAACTACAATAAAAATTATGACGAAATCAATATGTCACTATTTGTAAACGTAAAAACGTTAAGCTTTTGTCTTCAAAAACTAAATTGTATTATTTGGAACCCAAAGAATGTTACGAATTACGAAAAAATAACATTTGTTAAAAACAAGCTATGTTTTTCTATAAAAGTGTTTATCATCTTATACATATGCAATATATACGTAGTATCAAAATGTATTTAAAAAATATTTGGTTTAGTTATTATCCAAAAGACAATAAACTGATAAGTTGTTTTTTGTGTTTGTAAAATTCTGCTTATACGGAAATAATACACTTTTTACATATTATTGACTTGTTTATTTTTTATATCTAACATTCTTTTAGTTTTACCACTCATAACTGAAATTGTATGTTGACAAAGGCAAATTAAAAGCTTATATTTGAAAGTTTAACCAAACCTAAATCTATTGTATTAAAAAGGTTATTTTATTATATTATGAATCAAATTATGTTGGTAGAAAACATAATAACGAAAAAAAAATGGACTTCGGGGTATTTGATAAATGGGCCGTGATAAATTGAAGTAATTCTTATACTTCTTTTATTTGCCGGGCAAAATTAAGGAGAGCCTCTACTTTTTTATATAATTTAAAAAGAACGCTATATTTCACAAAAAAAATCCCTATCTTTCACAAGTGTACAGAAAAGGATCTTGAGTTTCATAAAAATACAGAAATTATCATACATTTAATAAAATTACAAAAATAGTCCCTTCCTAAAAAAATTATGTTTCATAAAACTACATAAATGGCCCATTCCTTAGCACAATAACAAAAATAGTCCTTATATTTCACAATATTACAAAAATAGTCCCTATCTAATATATAATTTACAAAAATGGACTTTATATTTCACAAAACTTATAGAAACGGTGGCATATTTTTGTAAAATTGTTCATTAGTTCCCATGTTTGAGAAAATTGCAAAAATAGTCCCTAAAAAATTACCTAATGGTCCCTTTGAAAAACCTATAAAAATGCAATTTATGTTTGAGAAAATTATAGAAATGGTTCATGTAAAATTATGTATGGTGTCTGTGTTTCAAAAATTTTATAGGAATGATCCATGTGTGAAAATTATGTTTACCTAATGGTCTCTATGTTTGAAAAAATTACAGAAATAGTTCGTACAAAATGATCTATCGGTCCTTACAGAAATGGTAAAAAATGGTCGGTGTGTAATAGAGAAATTATACAAATAGTCCATGTGTAAAAAGAAGTTATAGTAACAGTCCCTACTTAAGATAAAGTTATAGAAAATGTCCATGTGTAATAATGTATTACACAAATGGTCCTTGTAATACCGAAATTACATAAATAATGCTTATGTAATACTGCAATTTCAAAAATGCTTCATATGTAAGATTAAATTACAATAGTTGCCCTTTGTGTAATAGTCAAATTATAGGACTGGTCCATGTGTAATTACAAAAATGATATTGAAAATATATGATTAATAAACTCGCTGCAACGCACGAGCATTCCTAATATA